GTCCCTGATGAGAAGGATTGAGAAACGGAAGCAGTAACTCCGTAGGCAGACTCACAGAAGATGATTAAGGACAGATGTTTATTGATTGTCTCTTCCCAAGAGATATTATAGGTGAGGCCTTGGGAGGGGACATTTGCAGGAAACAACTGTTCGAATTAGTAGTTAAGAAAATCTGTGTATTCTAGTTGTGTCTGTTCATTTGGACTATCTGCGTTGCTTTGTTTGAACTATCTGGGTTGCTGCAGAGCTACTCTATTGAACGTGAGTTGCCTGGGCCCTCAGCCAAAGGATTCGTTATCTCAGTAATTGAACAGTGGTAAACAGCCAAGCCTGTGTTCTGGTTTATTCACAGGCTGGGGGATCAGAACAGTTTGTTTCCTGCCCAAACAGTTTACATTAAGCCACCATGGAACAGCTCCATGCCAAAAATGCTCAACTGGCACAGCAGGTGGCCTTGCTGGCTGGCCAGATAGCTCAGCTTCAAGGGCATGCTATTCCCCCCCAGCCTCAGAGGAAATGTCTGGTTGCCATGCCTGATAATTTTGACAGCACCCAAGCCATGTTTCCAGCTTTCTTGGGACAATGCCAGCTCTTTATCAGTTTGAGAGCGGAGGACTTTCACACTAACCGGGCTAAAGTTTACCAGCTTACTCTCTGGCTCTGCAGCTCATTGGGCTACCGCTTTGTTGACCCAGGCTAGCCCTTTGCTGGACGATTTCAGGGGATTTTGTGATCACCTCACACTCATTCATGGGGACCCCATTAAGAAGGAAACAGCCACCAGATGTCTCAAGACACTGAAGCAGGGCCGATGTTCCTTGCAGGAACATGTCAGTGAATTCCGGCTCCTTAGCCAAGATTCCGCCTGGAATGAGGCAGCCCTCATAAACACCTTTCAAGAAGGGCTGTCGAACAACCTGCAGGAGGAGCTGGTGCGGGTGGACAGGCCACCGACGTTCAACACACTGATCCACCTGTGCCTCCGGCGAGACACCTGGTTGCAGAGGCGGGGGCGTTGCCGTGCGTCCCAAGAGACCAGAGGGGTGCCGATCCCACAGGAGACCCTAGCTCCACGGGAGGAGCCCATGGACTTGGGCACCACCAAACCCTGCTTGTCGCGAACTGAGATAGATAGATGGTGCTCAGGGGGGTTGTGCTTTTATTGCGGGGATCTTGGGCACCTGGCAGCGGTTTGCCCTAAGAAGAGTAGGGGGCTGCGAGGTCTGGGGCCTACCACTCAGCTCCAGAACAACTTGTTGGGAAACGGGCGGAGCCCAATCTGAGGGAGACCTTAGGTTGGGTGCACACTGAGACTGCCCCATTGACTTGGTGCCGGACGCGCAGCTCCCTGTGGGTCGCCTGTACTCCATGCCGGAGTTGGCTGCATTGCAGGACTTTCTGGACAAGAACCTCACCTGGGGTTTTATCCAGCCCTCATCTTCACCACTGTCTGTCCCAGTCTTGATCATCAAGAAGAAGACCGGGGATCTGAGACTCTGTTGTGATTATCGTCGCTTGAATGCGATCACGGTGCGCAACCATTACCCTCTGCCCCTGATTCCTGAGTTATTGGAGTGGCTCTGGGAGGCAATGGTGTTCACAAAACTGGACTTGCATGGCTCCTATAATCTGGTCCGAGTCCGGGGGGGGGGAACGAATGGAAGATGGCCTTCGGCACCCGGTACAGACATTTTGAGTACATGGTCATGCCATTTGAATTAACCAATGCCCCGGCCGTCTTCCAGCATTTTATGAATGATATCTTCCAGGACCTCTTGGATCAGTTTGTCGTCATTTACCTGGACAACATTTTGATTTACTCGGCTTCTTGGGAGATCATCGGCAGCACCTACACTTTGTCCTGCAATGACTCTGGGAGCATTGTCTGTACACGGAGCTGGAGAAGTGTCAGTTCTGGCAGTCTACCATTGAGTTCCCTGGGCACTGTATCTCCCCTGAAGGAATTGCGATGGAGCCGGGCAAGGTAGAGTCTTTGCACAGTTGGCAACCTCCTTGGCGAGCGAAGGATGTCCAGTGACTCCTCGGGTTTGCCAACTACTACCGTACCTTGATCCCCAGCTTCTCTTTCCTGACCGCACCCCTCCCTCGGCTTCTGCAGAAGAAAGCGCCGTTTCACTGGGGGCCTACGGAACAACACACGTTCGAGGCCCTGAAGCACGCCTTCATGAAGGAGCTGATCCTGAAGTACCCTGATCCCCATCATCCATTTGTGGTGGAGGCAGACGCGTCCGACATCGCAATGGGCACGGTGTTACTGCAGGCTCATGCCCCTAGCGGCACCCTTTTCCCTTGCGCTTTCTTCTCGTGGAAACTCAATCCTTCGTAGCGTAATTACACCATCTGGGAGAAGGAGTTGCTGGCCATTAAGGTGGCGTTTGAGGCCTGGAGGCATCAACTGGAGGGGGCCAGGCATCAAGTAGAAGTCCGGACGGACCATAGGAATCTAGAGTTCCTGAAAACGGCACACAAGTTGAACCAACGCCAGATCCGGTGGTCCCTGTTCTTTGCCCAGTTCAACTTCCGAGTGACCTTCATCCTGAGTGTGCACAACCAAAGGGAGGATGCCTTGTCCGAGTACTCTTGCACCACAGACCCGCTTCCACCCCAGACAGTTTCGCCCATTGAATCCTTCGCTGCAGTTCACGAGCCCGGGACTTACGGCCTCGCATACGGAATGCGCAGCAGTATGCCGAGTGGGTGGAGCAATGGAGGGCAGAGGTAGGGCCGGCCTCCCCATGGATCTTTGACAATGACCTCTTGAGATCCTGGGACAGGCTCTATGTGCCCGCGGGGCCCCTCCGGGAACTTATTCTCTCCCAGTGCCATGACAATCCAGCAGCGGGACATTTTGGCCTTTTCAAGACTTTGAACCTGGTCTCCCATACCTTCTGGTGGCCCTGCTTACGACATGACATACAGACGTACATCACCTCTTGTGTACAGTGTCAGCAGGCCAAGTCAGTGATGGGAGCTCCTACAGGGCTGCTTCAGCCATTACCAACCCTAGACAGACTCTGGGGAGACATGTCCATGGACTTTCTGATGGAATTGCCTCTGTCTTCGGGGTTTACCACAATCCTAGTGGTGGTGGACATGCTCACGAAAATAGCACAATTCATTCCATGTCGGAGATTGCCAACAGCCCGCGCCACTGCCGCATGTTCATCTAGCATGTCTTCCGGCTGCACAGCCTACCCGATTGGGTCGTGTCGGACCGTGGGACGTAGTTCACGGCCCAGTTCTGGGAAGGGCTGATAGAGGCTCTGGACGTCCAGATTTGTTTGTCCTCGGCGCACCATCCTGAAACGGATGGGGGGGGGGCAGAGAAGGTGATCAGGATCTTGGAGCAGTACCTGCGCTGCTTCATGAATCAGCAACAGAACAACTAGGTGGACTACCTGGCCATGGCAGAGTTTGCATTTAACAACTCGCAGCACACCTCCACGCGGACGACGCCCTTCTTGGCTAACATCGGGTATCACCCTCGCTTCTTTCCTCTTACCCCAGTCGACTCCCCGGTCCCCGCAGCGCAGGACTTCTTCTCGGAGCTCCAGGCAGTCCACCAAGCGGTGTTCCGCTATCTGACTCAAGCCAAAGAGGACTACAAGAGGGTGGCGGACAGGTCACGGTGTGCGGTGCTGGAGTTGGCTGTGGGAGATCGCATGTTGCTGTCCACGCGAACACCTTCTGTCCCACTGGCCGGCTAAGAAGTTGGACCACCATTACCTTGGGGCATTCCTGGTGGAGGCCGTCATCAACCCGATGGCCTATCGCCTGACCTTGCCACGCTCGATGCGAGTGCACCTGGTGTTCCATCGCTCGCTCCTGGTCCCTGAGCCGTCTGCTTGTCATCTCCGCCCACCTTCTCTGCCCCAGCTGTCACAGTGTGAGGCGGAGAAGCAGCTTACGCACAAAGTGGCCTGGATCCGGGACTCAAGATGGCTAAAGGGATGGTTCCAGTACTTGGTGGACTGGAAGGATGATGGGCCAAACAGGGGGACTTGGGCCGATGCGACGGAAGTGCACGCCCCCACTTTGGTGCGGGCCTACCATGCAAAACATCCCTCGAGGCCGCACCCTGAGCGTCCTATGGTGAGGGATAGTGTTGTGGCCCAGCAGGATCTGGTTGAGTTGCTGATGGACTCGGATAGTGAGGAACCATATGAGTCTGCCCTGGACGATGTGGAGGACTCTGGGCAGGATTCAGACTCAGAGCAGGGACCAGAGAGGCTGGTTGGCCACCAAGAGGCGCCTGAGGCATGGAGCAGTGGGGAGGATCAAAGGCAGTTTGTCTCTGATGCTAGATTGAGAAGGGCTGAGAAACGGAAGCAGCAACTCCGTAGGCAGACTCACAGAAGATGATTAAGCGCAGGTGGTTGTTGATTAGCCCCTCCCAAGAGAGATTATAGGTGTATTTTAGTATTTAGTATTGTGAGGCATTGGGAGGGGACATTTGCAGGAAACAACCGTTCAAATTAGTAGTTAAGAAAATCTATCTGTGCATTCTAGCCGTGTCTGTTCGCTTGGACTATCTGCGTTGCTTCGTTTGAACTATCTGGGTTGCTGCAGAGCTACTCTATTGAACGTGAATTGCCTGGGCCCTCAGTCAAAGAATTTGTTATCTCAGTAATTGAACAGTGGCAAATAGCCAAGCCTGTGTTCTGGTTTATTCACAGGCTGGGGGGTCAGAACAACCAGCCATGGCCAATATAAATATACCTTGAACTATATTACCATGGGTAATACATTTCAGTATTGCAGGAATTGGAGAGAGAACGGGGGCTCAAAGATGCTAATGTGATTGTGAAATAAATCATAAATCATAAATTTATGAGATAAAAGTGAAAAATCTGTTCTCTAGAAAGGTCAAGAATATGTTGTACACCACAATTAATTCAAGTATTGGGTATAATGTATAGTATAGTGTTTATGCAGACTGAGAATTAACTGTGTGTATATTTAAGTTATGTTTTAAACTTGAAGTGGCTATAAAAACTACACGTTTGCACAAAGGAAAAGTTTGCCTTAATTCTTTGTCTGCTGTCCCCTTTCTGTACTTACGTTCTTTCTAGTCTTCCTCTCATGCACACATACAGATGAGTACAATGTTTTTTCTGGTATAATAGAAAAGGATAGGAATTCATAAGACATTTTACATTGGAAACATTTTGAGTTTGAAGTGCCCTATTTTGAGCTGGCTGTGGCAACCTTTTCGTGGCCTGATTTTGACTTTGAAACAATGTCATTTTGAGCTTGGAACAGTCCTTTGCAAACTGAAAACGTTTTGGACATCCCAAGAAAAGAGTTGTTAAAACAATTAATAATTATAAAAACAGCAGTAAAAGTATGGTAAAAACAAAACATAAAAATGATATCTTCCAAGACAATCATAAATGAAGGAATATCTAGCTAGGCAAAATCAACAAAAAAATTAACTGGCTATTATACTAGCGGCGGGGATAAAAGACAAATTAGGAAGCAAAATTTAACAGTTTTTTCCCAGATTAATCCCTGAATGTGTGTTGAATTTCAGCTCTACAGTATAATGGTTGAAAATGTAATTCTTTATCTTGATTCCTTTTTCTAGAAAGATGAGAAAGCAACAATAGCCAAAATGAATCGCCAACGTACTAATTCCATTGGTCACAACCCACCACACTGGGGAGTAGATCGCTCTTTTTATAATCACTTAAGCACCAGTCAAGTTTCTAAAGAAATGAAAAGAATGGTAAGGATGTTCAGATGTATGGAATTTTGCTGCCACTGTTGACAAATCAATATTAAGTGTACATTGGATTCCTCAATTTCTTTGATATCATGTTTCCCCTGTTTTCCTTACTTATGAAAGTAATTTCTATTTTATTACTCGATTCATGGTTTTTTTTAAAAAAAAAATTTTTATTTTGATAAAAGTTCTGATCATTATGCACTGTTGCAAGTTGCCAGAAAGAGCTTCTGGTGATTTCCCTGCGTACAATATATGTAAAATATCTCTGTCCTTGTACTGAAATGAGTTGCTTTGTGAAAATTAATTAAAGATTGAAGCTTAGAAATTGCTACAACCACACTAGTTCTCACTTGTCACACCTATTACAAATGGGTGACTAAGACTGAGAAGGACTTACTTAGATTCATTGCATGAAATAATCTCTGAGTTGTAAATTGCATCAAACATGTGGCTCCTGATTTGAATAGCCATATTTAGAAAGAAAGCATTGGAAGAAGCTTTAACATGGTACTGTAAAAAACATAAAACAGACACTTATCCACTATATGTGCATCTTGCCCTGTAGCTGGTACTACACAGATCATAACTTATAGATCAGCTCCTCACAGAGATAGAGAAAATCATCCAAATTAAAG